TCTCTTGTGCACAGATGCAACTGTTTTCTTTTAGTGCTGGACACTGCTATTTCAGCTTTTGTTCTGAAAGAAAGGAACCAGAGTGTCTTAATTAAGACAACTCAAAATTAGAAAGAAAAAAGCTTAACTCATATTAACAAAATTCTTAGAACTGAATGAAACTGCTTTTGTTTGGGGAAAAAAAATCAGCAATTCACTTTGAAAGATACTTAGCCTAGAAACCACTAAATTTGCCAAACAAGAATTATTAAGGGAACATCACAAGCCACACATCATAGGATCTTGCAGTGGCACGTTAAGCAGCATTACTGACAGGCATTGATCCTAGGTCTGCCACCTTCTGGACTTGGAACATTCATCTCCAGAAACCTTCAGCAAAACATAATGATAATTAATTGTCAAGGGAGAGGGGAGGTCAAGGATCTTTTTCTTCTGGCAAGAGGTTACAACTAGCAATGTTGATTCTACCACACAGTAAGACTGCAAACAAAGGCAACAGAGAAACTTAACTGCTTCCCTTGTTTACAATATTATCTTACAGACCTCTTCCATGTAACTGTTAGTGTGGTTTCAATATAACCTCTCTAACTCGAAGTCTCTGACTATGAATACTGAACATAACCAAAGTGATTACATAGCTATTTCAGAGGGCAACAGCGCTACATATCAACTTACACTGACAAGTCAAATCTTTCGCATCAGTCATTTCTAATAATGTCAGCACCACGCTCTTAGGTGCATTGCTCTATTTAGCAAAAGAAATCTCTGTGGTGCTAATACTACTAATCACTTTTTAAAGATAGTTTAAAGCACATTTAGGTGCCCTATTCTTAAGATTTATGGAGACAGGCATGATTTTGAAGCGTTGTAACACATTTATACTACCACATGTAAAGCACTTCATTTGAGAAAATTAACTTCCTAGAGGTTTTTTTAAGCATACGAATTTCAAGAGGCATTGATGTAGATGTGCAAGTCAGAGCTTACTTCGTTTCACCTTTCCAGAGAAACGAAAGCATGCTAGATCAGATTCTGCCCTCACCTGCACTTCTGTAACTCCCGTTGCATGGAATGGTGGTTTATAAGCTACAGTTACATTTGACTGCAGAATCTCCAATATTTGTGAAACCAGAGCCACGTCGTGTCCCAAAGCATTCGTTCAGACTGTTGGCTTTCTTAATCATTTGTGCTTACATTATCTTCTCCACACAATCTCAGTGGATCAGAGAAGTAAGTAGTTATTATGAAGGCTGTAGTAGAACAAGCTGTAAGTTTTATGTCAATGCTTCCTTGAAGGGGAAAGTGAATTCCAGCCAAAACGTTCTTTTGGAATTAAACTGCCTCTACCCTATGAACATATTTTTTTTTTTTTAAATTAAAAAAGATCAAATAACAGACAAGTTCTGCTTTTCGTACTAAATATTCAATTTAAATATTCCATGCAGGTCTACATATAGACCCAGACAACCAGAGTCTGGTTTAGGCCATCAGTAACAACCTAATAATCTACAGCCTTTCCCTTGTACGTATTTGAACTACAAAGGCTCAAAACCTGATTATTTTATTCAAGCAAAGGTTCTAATCTGAGAAGTTCATTCCCTAACAAAATCCTGCCATGGCTGTGAAGCCAGAGGGGTTAACACCACCAGCTGGAACAGTACAGGCAGTGAAAGACTCATCTTGCAAGAGTAGCTTAGAGCGTCCAGCAAGATGTCTCCCACACCAAAACCTTATTATCCCAATTATTTTTAAATTTGGAGACATTTTGCTTTCAAAAAAAAAATTAGAATTGAACAACAGCAAAGTAAACATAAGAGTTACGAAGGTATTCTTCCATTTTGATGCCCTGTTACAGTCTTTCTGAAAAAAGTCACTTTCAACTTCAGTACATCCCAAATTAACGTAACAGATAATTCTCTTAATATATTCAAAAATATTTTCTAAATCCCACCTTAAAGGACTAAAACTAATTCTTCACATTAATGAACCCATTAAAGCATAAAGCATTATAGAAATTCTAAAATGAAAATTGTTTCATGGCCTTATAAGAACTCACTTCTAGAAAGACTGTATTTTAGAAAACAAAAGCTTAGTTGATTTATATTTCAGAGGCAGGGTGACTCAAGAAACATTAATAACTAAAACTTCAGTCTATGCAGGGGAATATATAGGCATCCAGTTAAAGTAACAAGTAAACAAGTAGAATCCTAATTAAATCAGTCTACTCTTTCTATGCTTACTAGGAAGAACTTGTTACACCCACCGAAGGGATAAAACTTAGGTTTGCTATTGGCAGAGAAGAGGCATTTGTACCACTCAGGCAATTTACTCCTTAAACTTCTCATGACCTGGATTTTAATCCTGCAAATTTAGGACCAGTGCTCTCCTTGGATACAGTATTCCACAAAATCTATCAGAAGCTATACATCTTAACCTGGGAAAATATACAACTGTTTCCCCATTCTCAGGAAATATATTACTTTGCTGACGTAACAGTTTATGTGTAAACTATCGCAAGCACACCTCTCTGCAAAGGTAGCTAACTTACAACTTTGCTTTACTTACACAAGGTGCATGCTCTAAACTCCAGAGAGGGGTTGCATTAGCAAAGGCTGGTACAAGAACTCCTAAGAAGGAAGTTGTCCTTACGGTCCACCACTGTACAAGCCAACTTACTTCTCCTGTTCACAGAACTCACCAATATTCTGCTCCTGCAGAAACCGCTCTAGAAGGGGGATCTTAAAAACAACAACAAAGCAGCACAGCATAAAGCAGTCTGGATTCGTGTTTATTGAAGCCAGTAATTAAAGACGTCCTCATTTTGCCAGCACTAGAAAGCAAGATTCCACATGACTGCATACTGCACCTGGTTAAAGCCATACAACTGGACTAAGGTTTGTTTCATACATTTGCAGTCCTAATTGTAAGTTGGAAAAAAACCCAATAAACTTAGTATACAGGACAGTGAACTTTCATTTACAGCATGTATATTGTTAAGTTCATGATGTACAGAGCAGTCACTTTCAACGTAGTTAAATTAAATAAAATACGAAATTCTGTTCAGTTTAAACAGTTTTTTAAAATGCCAATAAAAAAAGTGCAAACTTAAAATCAAGCAGCATAACCACAACATTTTTATGGAGGGCCAATCTTTAAACTTTTCCATTTGCTTCAAGTTGAATGCTTTGATCTTTTGTTTTCTTAGTTTAAACGTGAACAGTAGATGCAGTCACTATAATGCATATAAATATAGTCATATAACAGTTTAAACAGTCTACCATACAAGTGTATCTGCAAATAAAATGAAGTTTCACTTGAAAATGTAAAGGCTGTTTGCAATTTGGCCTTTGGTTCCAATGCTTGAAGACACCAGAATAACAACTGTGCAGCTCGCCAAAGTTGACAGACTTTGGCAACCACAGGATGCTACATTACTTACAACTTTCTGTCAATAAACTAGGAGCATTCACTTGCAATTAGAAACCGGAAATCTGTTTCTGTTTTGTCAGAAGCATCTTTCTGCAAAGCTGGTTAAGTTATCATACATTATCAGTTTCAATCCATTTTAGTATATTTAACATTTTTATAGAACTGGAAAAGTACTTCAATTTTAAGTTTTAGCCATTTTGCTAGAGAAAGTGCTTATCAGGTTAGATGACCAAAAAAAATGCAGTTTCAGACTGAGGTTTTCAAACTATATCCCATTACGATCACACACTTTTTCAATTTTCCTGTTGAGTTTTTGATGTTTTAGTCTCTAATCTGAATTCTCAGTGTCAGGAGGACAGTGTGTAATTACTTCTTCCGGTGTGGTAACTTGCAACTGGCACCCACTGCACCAGGAAGTACATACACATTACCCATCAGCCATCCACAGTCTTAATCTGTTATCTAGACAACTGTGTAACTTCAGGTCATACCGTTTATTTAAAAAAAAAAAGTAAAAAATGAAGAAAAATATAGTATTTTCAACAAAAAAACTGGCACAAATAACATACGTTAATGTTTGTCAAAGAGGCAAGTAAATACTCTTAGCTTTCTAGGTAATGTTTAGACAGACTTACAAGAACAGCCTCTTGATGTAACATAGGATTTGAAGTTAACATCCAGTACTGTGTTAGTGGTCAATCTAATTCTGTGTATTTAAGTAACAATATATATTAGGGAAGTTATATCCAGACATCAGATTTAGTACAACAAGTTCATATCAATAAAAAGTAAACTCTGCATAATTCAAATTGTGGTTTTTCCCTTCAGCATTAGAGCACAGAATATGCTTGGTATTTTTAATTTACGGTAGTGTGTACATGTAAAACAAGCATACCATATATAAAATCAAAGTGCCATTTCAATAACCGTAGCAGTTTTGTTTGCTTTTACAGAATGATGGTTTTATGTGACCACGGACAGAGCTCCGTTACAGCAACGGGGACAACCACAACCCATCTTTCCAAATGAAATGCTACATTAAAGAAAATACAGAACAAGTTACTGAGTATGTTCATCATGTACACATTCATACTTTTTAGATTACCTTCAGAATTGGAGTTGGCTGCACCTGCAGCAGATGTGGCTGGAACTAGGGCCTTGAAAGTTTATTTTAAAAACTTCCACAGGTGTAAGGCAGGAATCAATTTTAGCTTGGTAGCTAATATTTAGTTACAAAAAGTAAGAAAAAAAAATACTGAGAATGTTCTGTAGCACATTTCATTATGGGAAAATGATACGTCACCCACCATTCTTCATAGGCTAGCCTCTTGGCATAAAAAAAGGCAGAAGCTATCAGAAAACAGGATTTAAAATTAAATACAAATTGCCAAACTACTGATTTTAAAATAAAACCAAACAGTGACTGTTTGTACTACAGTGCACAATAAGTTCAAGCACCTTCTAAAGACACATCACACACTGTGCCAGGCACTTGGATCTAAACAAGTTATAATTTCTCCCTTTGTCAGCTACACCAGAAAGGGCATCCACACTCTTAGACTTCTTTTTAAAAACTAAAACAAGATTTATAACAAGAATAAATTCCCATGATGCTTAGTGTTTGGCCTGGAATTCTCCAATGTAAAGTAGTCTTTTTAAAACAGTGATTATTTACCCTATGTGAAACACAGGATTTAACAACATTGCTCCTCTCCAGTCAATCCAACATTCTAGTTTCTCACTGTCCCAAATCTGCTTCCCCATTTAGGGCTCCACTCCCTACCTAGGCTTCTTTCACCTCATTAATGCTCTGTTACACCACCACCATCACCACCACCTTTCCAAGAATATAACGCATTTGCAAACATACAAGTAGCCAATTCCAGTAACTCTGAAATAGGAGTTCGTTTCTCTTTCTTGCCTTGTGTGCAGTCAGTAGTAGTATTTTAGTAAGAATTCTCCATTTTGCTTCTCTATGTTCTTCACAACAGGAAATGCAGCTGCACCTGCTTACCTCCAAAACCAAAAGAATTGCCCTATATAAACTCTAAATGGTTATCTTATACAGAGGGATTTTATATGCAAACTTCCTGAATGTGCACTTTTTACTGGGACAAGGCAATGATGTAGTAAGCTCATTTCCCCTGCCCCAAGAAAACTGATAGCATCTGCCATAGCAGAAAATTCCTGGTCTTATCAGATCAATATACATAGTTATTTGGTCATTTACATATGCAATTTTTTATACGCTATCAAGCTTCGTTCTCTGTTGGAGGAGAGTTTGTTGTTACCATAGAGTCTGGCTTGCGAGTCATCCTATCCAATTCCTCTTGAACGTTTGTCAAAACTGTTTTTTGTCCTAAAACGAAAAAGGACAAAGTTAGAGATCTAATTTCAATGAAATGTTTTAACCAATAGAGTGCAAGTATTCATAAGATCACTTTTATATGACAATATATTATTTAGTTTCTCATTATTTTGCCACCTACCCAAGAATTCAGGGCCTGACACAATGCAAGGTAACGTCTATGTAAAGACCAATGAATACTAAGGTTTGATTCACCTTAAAGAGATAAAACGCTGCAGCATAAAGCACAAAAATATCTGTGATATATCTTACAGCAACCAACATTTTAAAAACAACCACATTTAGAAGTTTCTATAAAAATCAACTGTACACAATTCTATTATTAGTATCGAGAGCAAGCAGTTTAAACACAGATTTTAACCACAAGGTTTCCAAGGTATGTAGGACACCTGCTACAAAAATCACATTTGGTTGGTCACATATTTGCTGTGTTTTAATATTAAAACACAGCAAACAGGAAGAACTCTTTTATGTCTGCAGACAATGCTTCCCTTAAAAAAGGGGACATGAATTGCATATTCATGTAATATCTCAGAGCAGTCATTTCAAAGGACTTCTTCAATTGGAAACAGACACACTGAAGTATTTCATGGAGAGGCGTATCTTACATTTTTATATTAGACTCAGAACTTTTTAACAATTCTCTAACTGAACCATCAGTTTAATTCTCATTCTGAAAATTATAAACCCACAAATTAATTGCTGAAATTGGAACAATATATTCTAATGCTTAGAGCATACAAGCATTTAAGATTAAAAAGCTGTATTTTTAGACAAGAAGTAGATTATATAACCATGTACAGCTTCCTGACATAGCCAAAGAATTTAACAAGCATCTGTTTTCCAGCTCAAATGTGTGTGAAATATTAGGTGGATTTTTTCCAGGGTACATGCTGAAAACATTAAGAACGCAAGATTTGACTGTTAGAGATTTAAGTGTTTTTTTCCCAAAGACAATCAAGTTAAAAGGTTACCTTTAATCACTATAAAGGTTTTAGTCATAAGCCACAGTACTCTTAATAGCATCTATTCAAAGCAGAAGTATTTAAACAAAATTTAAAAATTAGTACATTAACTGTAATATAACTTAACAATACAAAACACTTTACATGTAGACTAATGGTACCTTGGAGTTTAAAAAACCTAAAACAATAAAACCCACACAAAATTCTTGCTCAAACAAAAGTAGGTCTAAACAAAAACTGTGGGGTTTTTTTATGCTAGATGAACTGGATCCTTAAGCCTCCAAAATAATATCAAGCAGTTGTCTCCTGCAACTACCTCACTGGATAGCAAAAACATTGCTGAGCTATTCAGTGATACGTAGGTTTACACATACTCCCTTTTCCCACCACCGTAGGTGAGCATCTTTCAAAGGAGAAGAAATACAAGGAGCTGTATGGGAGAAAATAAAAATTTCCCCTCCATTATAAATTAAATT